AAATTTTAAAAGAAATTAAAATTTCTCAAATTACATATTTCTATTCGCATTTTATAACAGTGAATAAGCATGTAATTGTAAAAAATATATTTAAAACATACTAAACAATATATTTCTCTATTCAAATTAAGGATCAATTCTTTTCATTTATTCATTCACCAATTATAAATCAGTCTTGTGTATCTATATAAACGCTTTTCTTTTCGCGACATGTAATATACTTTATATCGCGTGCAAGAGGGGTTGCATCCCCTATATTCCCTACGTGATTTCGCGATTTGATACGCTTCAACCTTTGGAATCGCCGTATTCGTTGCTTTTTCCTGGCCCAGTCAGATTTCCCAAGCCAGAAATCTCTTCCTCGCGGGAAAGGAAATTTCTCTTTCTACCCCCATGACGGACTGGCGATTTCACGGGATTGCTGAATTTACTATGAGAAACGAACGAATCTCTTATCCGAATTTCTGTTTATTTTCATAAATTTTTCTTTTTTTCTTATTTTTTTTTTTTTTTAATGACTTAATTGTAACGTGTAATTTTTTAATCTTTGCAAATTAAAATAACTTTCTTATTTCGATCGTAATACGATTTAGAAATTTTAAATGAAAAGATTATCTTTTTTATCAACGTTTCCCAAAATCGATCGGTAAATAATACTTTTTAATACGCGGATAAAAATCTATGAGGGTTCTCGGAAACACCTGTAAATCTTCGTCATTAATTCTCGTTCAACCTGGAAAACGTCGAAAGGCAGGCTTTCAATGTCTATCAATAGCCGTTTCAAATAAACAATATAGAACTGCTCATTAGCATGATGTCTATTTAACAAAAGTTCCGAATTTAACGTAGTAATCCCCGGGATGCCATCGCAATGACCCAATTACCGCACTCGTAAAGTGCAACAGGGCGGGACGTGAGCCACATGAAAGCCGCGAACAACCGGAAACTTTGTTAGTCTTCCAGTCTTTCGACACGTTAAAAGGCAACGCGCCAGCTTTTCTCTTCCAACGCTTCCGTTGTTAATTAGTTAAGCCGTCTCTTAACACCAGCTACGACAGGGTACCGCGAACTACTCCTCGCGGAAATAATTATTTTTCGCGAACGGCACGTTTACCATCGATGAAAGAAGGTGGATGAGGAAATCACGATGAAACGAAAACGGACGTATATCTACAGTTGAGGAAAATTTAATTAAATCTACCGTTAAGGTTCCGGCATTTCGGTATTCGAATCGCATTAATCCGATCGAGCAAGCAAATCGGTTCCCTAAGTAATTTCATCGATATCGAACGGACGTTTAATGGCCTCAATGAATTTCCAACTATTCTTTTTTTCTTCTGTCTCTCTTTCTCTTTCTCGTTTTGTTTCCTTCTTCGTGTTATCGATACGCCGTTGAATTTTTCGCGAAAAAACCCAATCCTCCCCTCTCCTCCCAAACAGGATTTTGTTTCATGCTTTAAATGACTTTTAACCTTTTGTTTCCCACGTTAATTCGTTCTACGCGTTTGTGCACTGTAACTATCAAAAAAACTCCCCTCTCTTTCTCTTTCTCTTTCTATTTTTTTCGGAATAAAATGTCAAATGGAAATATTGCGAGGAAAAATCCATTTGTCACGGATATTATAACCATCGATTCAATATCATCGTTCTCTAAATTGTCTTTGATCGAACCATCCCCTTAGTGATGCAATTTGACATTTTTTTTTTTTCTTTTGACGTTATATTAGAAATTCAGCCTTCCAGCAGTTTTGACGAGCTTGAAACATATTTTCGAAATTAAAAATAAAATACGCATTATATTACACCGTATACTTACAAGGATGAACCGTAATTCTTACAAGATATATTTCAATCATCGAAATTGTACGATAAAATTAAACGTCTAAAGAATCAGCAGGTAGACAACGAGCATACTTGAGCAACGTATACGGATGTCAAACTCGCACAAGTCTCCAACGATCGCGGATTGTTATCCCAGCCAACTTGGCGTCGTTTTCCCGGAAATTACGCCAATAACCTGTCCGATATAATGTCCGACTTCGGTGTATTAATTAGCAACAACGCCTGGGAACCATAACTCGGCCACGAAGATACATAGATAGATCCACGATCGAATTAGCAACACCAATACCAGTCTCCACCCGTTGAATAATGCACGAGCTGACATTTCGTCCAATAACAAACGCCCCCGTTATTCAGCTATGATTATTCTTGCCGGATGGCTGCCCATTTAATCGAAAGTACCTTTTCGCTCGCATCCATCCCTCTCCCGTGGGAGCGATGCTTATATCCCCCTCCCCTCGGCCTTGCGTCTTCACAGCTTAATCGAATTCAAATCGACAGATCGTAGACACCGGTGTTACGGAGCGTGCACTGACACACTCCGTCTCGGGATTATCCAATGAAATTTATGTTTTCGCGGGTGAACACGAAGGGGCGATAACTTTCTTTAACGCGTTAGCCCGTATTACCGGGCTTATCATATTTGTACCAATCCTGGGTGTTAAGCCTGACAAACGAGACACCAGAACTTCTCGTTACAAGGGCCGCGAAACTCCCTTTTTATCGACGTCTCGTGTTTTCGTGGATGGGACGCGTTTGGGGGATGGATGAAAGTTTGGCATGGAATTATGTATCGACGGAAATTTAAAAATTTTACTCTTTGCAGATTTATGCAGTTTACGCGGGGGAGGAAAACGTTATATACACCTATTCTTTAACTTTAAATTCCCTTTCCAATTTCAATAATTTCTTCGTTTAAAACAAATCTGATGGATTCAACGTGTTTCAATATTAGTTACATCGTTCAATTTTTGTTCCAATTTTTGTTTAATTAAGGATTTAATTTTTAAAAGCTTGTAATAAATGTTCGTTACGCGACAGAAGTTTTAAAACCGCATTACTTACCCGCATAATCTCATATAAACTTCCAAGTACTTACAATGAACGTTTTGTTGAAAGAGGATAGAAGAGAGATATACGACGTTCATATTTTTCCTCCTATTTTCACACGAACAAATAACGATTCGGGAACGAACAATGAGATTATAAAATCGAAAAGCCGTGTCAATCGTTCGTTCCACAAAAGATACATCCCTCCATCGTGAATCAAGCGGAAATAAACCGTGTTCCGATATTAATAGCGGGTCGCGTGCCGGTTCGTTTGGTAAATTATAGATATACATAGGGCGGGTATCGTCGAAAATTTTCGCCGCAGCGGGGTAATAAGATAGATCGACATTATGTAACCCCGTAATGAACCGACGTGTTGTTAATTACAAGCTGGACGAACGTTGGATGAAAATACGCCGGTATTTCGCGCGACCATTTCATTTTCCCCATTCATACTGTGCTCCAACGGATGAATGGGTTCCCTTTGCCGCTTCTATTTCCGCGCGTTGGAAACGCCCGTTTCGAAAATCACGAATTGTCGCCTATACGTGTGGATCCCTATTAATTTTCATACGGATCCTCCTCGTGTTCGATCCATTTTTTAATTATTCGAAATCGGCCAATTTCATCGATCCACCGACAAGAAGGTACTACTATTCCATGTCCACGCTAATTACAATAGAACAGAGTTAGAACTAATTTATTTAACTTGCAGGAGCATCCGGCTGGCAGCCCGCTGGGATCCACTCGAATAAAGATAGATTCTGATAGTGAGCAAGTATACTCCCGCGCATTTCAGGAATCAGGTTTACCGCTTTTAGGCTAACAACTGTTTGTTTCCGAGTGTTTGGACCGATATTGGGAATTTATTAATAGGTTCCTCGATGGAAGGAAATTAAATAAATGTGGGGTTGGTGAAGTTTGATATAAATATTTAATTGAGTAATATTGATCCTGGGTTTTAAAGTTTAATGATGATTGAAATTAGAGTGAAAGAAATATCTATTTGCATCATATAATAATTTTATTATACTTACTTTTCCAGTCTTTCGCGCAAAGAAAAATGCAACAAAAATTCGCGACGAGATAATTACACATTATCGAATTTCTATCGAAATAAAGATAAATTTAAAGAAAAACGAAATTGCCGGTCATGAAACTGAAGAGTCGAGAAAATAGTCGGAATAGAAACTGGAAATCTCGTTCTGGCATTCCAGTCGTCAACGATGTCTCCCAATGATACCCATCAAACAGTAAGAGTCCTTCAGAACTTACGAACCTCGAAATTAACTATTTTCTATCTTCCAGCCGAGACGAATGGCGAACCGTAGGAGGCTAGACAACCGAGCTAATACCAAATGTTTTAACCTCTCTCTGGATTTACTCCTAATGGAAATCTAGAACAACCAAAATCCTAGCTTTGGGTAATTTATTTGTCGATAGTCCATGCTGACGTGTAGTTACGTATGACTTGATTTCCTCGATAAACAAAAGAAATTTACTAACAGGAAAATGTAAAAATA